CCAAAGAATTACCATTCGAATTTTTTCTCCAATCGAGATTTCATTCGCTTTTCTAGAAAAAAGAATTTTTGGGTCAAGAAAGAGAACTTTGGAAATGAGTGTCCACAGAAGATCATCAGGGCACCTTCTCCGCCCTAGACTGGTGCTAATGCCATGCCCATTTCAAATTCAAAATCTCTCTTGGGCTTGGTGACTTCCTATGGGCCTGCCTCCTCCGGGCCTGTCACCTCTGGCCCTTCTACTCTAGCCCCAAACTAGGTCTTGGCCCATGCCTAGTCCCGATGACTGGCGCATGACCACCTGAGGAAACATTGTCGTGGATCAATCAGATGCAAGATCTACTTCAATTATGGACATACCTCTGTAGCTTGCCTTTGTATGGCCCATCTACGGCGCGTTTACCGGTCTGTTTCCATGTTGGAAGGTGAGGGGTCAGGGCAACCTCCCTTAAGTAACAAGAAGATGCCCTCCCCCTCCCCCATTTGCACCTCACCGCCCTTCAATTCCCACCAAACAACTATAGTAGCAAACCCTTCCTCGAGCTCCAATGGCCAACTTCACCGTTGACCCCTACCCTCATGTGCCAGCGTGCTAGAGCTTGGAGGACCCACCCCTCCGCCCACCTCTGCGTAACAAGGTGTATCTGACGGGGTGCTACAATCTAACGAATGAGGACCTAACGATCATCAAGCTCTAGCCGCCAATCCACAAGGACGATTTCCACCATCTTGAGTCTACGCTCCGATCCTTCTTCCTCAACATACATCAGGTGCGGGTCGCAGACATCTAGCCCTACACCATGGGTGATGCTTATGTGCGTTTCAACACCGCTTTAGAGAGGGAGAAATGTCTTGGTCCAGTTTTCCATTTTGGCAACTATAGAATGAGTATCATTAAGCACGATGAGGCAGAGAACGCTAGATCCTTTGATCTTGATCGTGAAGCTTGGGTAATGCAAATTGGTTTCCCTAAGGATATCCGCACTAGAGCGGACATTGCAAAAGCTATTTCTGAGTTTGTCATCCTTGTGCATGTCCATGAGTCGAGCACCCTGGCCAGAATCATCGCTAAGGTCTACTTGAATGACGAGGCCAAGTTCCCAGACTCTGTCAAGGTCAATGCAGGGCTCCCCCCAAAGGATGCTCTTGGACAGTGTTAGTGTTTACCCTCAAGAAGAAAGGAGTTCTAGAAATGCAAGATGAGGAGGCCTTTGTCATGACTGGTCCACTGCACCCCCTCGCTCCTCAGCCACCATGTTGGATGGGACCCGTGCCACCGGCTCCTTCAGATGCGACCCTAGCTTCTTCACAGGCATATGGGTCCAATATGATGGTTGATCAGTATTGTAGATTAATGGGTGGATTTAAGAGGAATTTTGGATATGAGAGAAGAAGGGGAAGAACAGTGAAGATGGAAACACTGACTGGATCTATCTTCTCGATCCTTCTCAGGTACTCCATCTTATCTCTTTTCTATTTTACATTTTGGTCCCCAATTCTAATTATATTTACAACTCACACCAACACTCCCCCTCAAGATGGGGCAAAGACATCATATAGACCCATCTTGCTACCAAATGAAGAGAAAGTCTTTTTAGGTAACCCTTTTGGTCAAAATATCAGCTATCTGGCTAGCTGATTTTACATAAGGTAGGCAGATAATTCTTCTATCCAGCTTCTCCTTAATAAAGTGACGATCGATCTCAATATGCTTGGTTCTATCATGATGAACAGGATTGTTAGCTATATCAATAACCGCATTGTTGTCACAGTATAGCATCAAGGACCCACTCTCAAACAATTTCAATTCAGTTAGAAGAATCTACAGCCACAATAGCTCACACACACCATGAGCCATACCACGAAACTCTGCCTCGGCCGTAGATCATGCTACAACACTTTGCTTTTTTACTTCACCATGCAACTAGATTACCTCCAACAAAGGTACAATACCCAGAAGTTGATCGTCTATCATCCAAAGAACCAGCCCAATCAGCATTAGTATAGCACTCAACTTGCAGGCTTCCTTGTTTAGTGTATAAAAGACCCCTTCCTGGGCTACTCTTAAGATACCTCAAAATGCGATAGACAGCATCCATATGAGATGATCTAGGATCATGCATAAATTGACTCACCACACTTACTTCAAAGGCAATATCAGGTCATGTGTGAGAGAGATATATGAGCCTTCCAACCAGTCTCTAATAACATTCTTTATCCACTGGAGTACCAACATCTTTACTTAAACGACAATTTTGCTCAATAGGTGTGGCTGCAGGACAGCATACGAGCATTCCGGTTTCCTTTAGTAGATCCAAAACATATTTTCTTTGAGATAGAAACATCCCCTTTGGTCCATGGGAGATTTCAATTCTAAGAAAATATTTCAATTGCCCCCAAATCCTTTACTTCAAACTCTTGAGCAAGATATTTCTTCAAATCAACAATCTCAGCAATGTCATTCCCAGTAATCACAATATCATCCACATATACTATTAGGATTGCTACCTTGCTTGTAGCATGTTTATAGAATAGTGTATGATCAGCATTACTTTGGATATAGCCTCTTTTGAGCATTGATTGTCTAAAGCGATCAAACCAAGCCCTTGGGATTGCTTCAATCCATATAGAGATCGACATAAACGAAGCACTTTTTCCATTTGTTTGACCTGTTTCAAAGCCGGGTGGTATGTACATATATACTTCTTCATGAAGATCACCATGAAGAAAAGCATTTTTTACATCCATTTGATATATTTCCCAATCCAAGTTGACAGCACAAGATATAAGAGTTCTTACCGAATTCATCTTGGCAATAGGTGCAAAGGTCTCATCATAGTCAATCCCATAAGTTTGGGTGTATCCTTTTGCCACAAGACAGGCTTTGTACCTTTCAACCTTCCCTTCAGGTGTGTGTTTAATGGTGAAAACCCACTTGCACCCAACAGGTTGCTTACCTTGCGGTAGATCCACAAGCTCCCAAGTTCTATTCTTCTCCAAAGCTCTCATCTCTTCAAGCATTGCCTCCTTCCACTTAGGACCCTCTTTACCTATTTTCCAGTTAGTGGGTATGGATACAGAATCAAGAGATGCAACAAAACTCTGGAAGGATGGGCTACAACATTTATAGGAGATAAAATTGGAAATGACATGTTTATAACCAACATAATCTTTAAAACGTACTGGAATATTGGAAGATCTAGTTGACTTTCTTAGGGCTATAGGTAGATCATTTTCAGGAGGTTGAGTAGATAGTTGATTATCTCCTCGCTCCAGAGTGCTAGATGAAGCATTAGGACTAAGAGAGTGTGAGTTGGTACCTGGGTCCTCGTGCATAAGAGACTCTATGTTTTGAAAATGCAAAGTACCCTGTATATCTCCATGGCAAGAATTATTACCCCACTCCATGGCAAGAATTATTACCCCACTCTCGTTATCGTTATTAATTTCCTCCCCCTGACTATGAACCAAATTATTCCAATAGGAACCAACTGAAGGAGGAACAAGAACAGAGCTCTCCCCCTCTTGTTGTCCTTCAGGTGGAGAAAGAGTAATTCTAGTATCATTGGTTGGCTTATAGTAAGGTTCATATTCATGAAATGTCACATCCATACTTATAAAGAAATGATGTTCAAATGGACACCAGCAACAATAACCTTTTTTAGTAGAAGAGTAACCAACAAACACACATTTAACAGCACGAGGGTCAAGTTTTCTAATATCATTTATGTAGTCATGAACAAAGCAAACACATCCAAAGACCTTCGGAGACACAACAAATTCATTCGAATTCAAAAGTAACTCAGCAGGAGATTTATTGTCAAGAACTCAAAGAGGCATCCGATTAATTAAATATGCTGCAGTCTTCAAAGCTTCCCCCCAAAGAAACTTAGGAACATTCATTGTAAACATAAGAGAACGAGCAACCTCAAGTAAATGCCTATTTTTCCGTTCAGCAACACCGTTTTGCTCTGGAGTGTTAACACAGGTTGTTTGATGTTCAATACCATTAGGAACTGTTCAAACTCCTGGTAAACATACTCCGTACTTATTATCTGAACGTAAGACCTTAATAGTGTTGCCAAACTTATTTTTAATAAGGGCATACAAATCTTTAAAAATAACAAAAATATCACTTTTGTGTTTCAACAGATAAAGCCAAGTATATCTACTAAAGCCATCAATAAAAGTCACAAACCATCTATGTCCAGAAATAGAGTATAGGGACCTCTTGTATGTTTAGCAAACTCACATGCATCACATATAAGAGATTCCCTAGGACATGCATTAAAAAGCGAAGGATAACTACGAGACATAGCAGCAAAAGAGGGGTGTCCAAGCCTGCGGTGAAGTAATAATAATTCTTGACATGGAGACATCTTGGATGCAAAAGCGACTTCATCACTTCCTTCATCAAGATAATAGAGTCCATTATGCATGGTCCTAGTCCCAAGAATTCTCCCTATCCCTAGCTCCTGAAAAGCACAATGAGAAGGATCAAACCAACCTTTACAGTTGAGGGATTTTGTGATAGAACTAACAGATAATAAGTTAATAGGGAAATAAGGAACATGCAAAACTGGTGAGAAGGATAGGGTTTTTGTGCACCGTATAGATCCACGTCCTGTTATAGGAACCATGGATCCATCAGCTACACGCACCTTATCCTTACCTGAACAAGGAATATAGGAAGTGAAAAGATTGGATGCTCCTGTCATATGGTTATTTGCTCCAGAATCAATAATCCAAGGTTTATTTGTATAGGCTTGAACATGTTTTATACCTTGGGAAGTAGCATGGTAACTAGAATTAGTAGAGGAACCTTGAGTGGAAGATGAGCCTTTAGAGAGCTTGAGCTTAGAGTTGTATTTCTCAAGAGCTTGAGCATCTACCACTAGAAGCTCCTTTTTCAGATGCTATATGATTAGCCCGATTCCAGTTAGCACCTCGAACTCCCCCTGGTTGAGATTTCCCCCCTTTTTTCCACCCAGGTGGAAAACCATGCAGCTTAAAACACTTCTCTATGGTATGCCCCTTATCTCCACAATGATCACAAATCACCTTGCTAGATGGAAAACCATGCAGTTTAAAGCACCTCTCTATGGTGTGCCCCTTATCACCACAATGATCACAAACCACCTTATTTTTTTCTTGGTCCCCTTGAGGAACAGAAATGCGGCCCTTCTTTATAGATAGGACCGCACTAACATCAACTGCTTTATAATCATCCACTTTGGGATGTGATAGTCTAGTTTCCTCTTCTCTGATGCTGGAAATTATCTCATCAAGAGTAGGCCATTCGGACTTAGAGAATATAAGTTGTCGATGAAGACCAAATTCTTGATTCAAACCATCAAGAAATAGCTTGCTCACAAAAGATTGGAACCAAGTATGATGAATAGCCAAATCCTTTTTGTCAACCGCCTCAAATGGATGATAATAGTGTAGGTCTCTGTACAGTTTTTTTATCTCACCAGCATATTCTACTACAGACCTTGAGCCTTGCTTTAAATGAGTCAACTCATGCATGATTCGAGTAGCTTGCATTTTGTTTGATTTTCCTACAAATTGTCTCTCCAATTCCGACCACACCTCTGCAGACGTAGTTAAGGTTTCAACTTGTTCTCTGATAATTGGTTCCATACTACTTAACATCCATAATAGTACTCTATCACTTATTTGCTTGCTTGCTATATCAACCTCCCTTTCTTTATCAGAATCGACAAGTAAACACTCATATCCATGGGAGCTTAGAATTAACTTACAATGACGGGCCCCACTGACATAGTTCTCTGGTCTAGGATTAGACTCGAGTGTGTATTTAAGAATATCAGAAGTCACCACCTTAGGCTGCTCCATCAATTTGCTAAATATTTCATAAAGTTTTTCCACGTGATCTACTGATTTCTCTCCACTAGTTTCAGCCATAAGCAGCAGATTCAGTATTTAGCAGCAAAAAAAAAAAACAACAACCAAGAACCAGCTCCTCCTTAGATACAGGAAACAAGCAAGCAGATCACGGTCACCAGCAAGCTCGCAGCTTTTCTCTCCGCCGCCGGCAAGCAACCAAGCAAGCACCCGTACCTTGCAGGAATTAGTAGCTCAGTCTTCGTGTTGACAAAGGCTGTGGCCACAACGTCTGCCTCAGAGCTGCTTCTAGTCTGGGCGACGACGACTCGGGGAAGAACAGTGAAGTTGCAAACACTGACTGGATCTATCTTCTCGATCCTTCTCAGGTACTCCATCTTATCTCTTTCCTATTTTACATTTTGATCCCCAATTATAATTATATTTACAACTCACACCAACAATCAGGGTAATGCAGGTGGTGCACCAGCTGATGCTACTGCCGATGGTGGGATACAGATTTCTGTCAATGAAGCTGAAAGTGAAGTTGCAGCTGAAGTTTCAGATGCTGCTCCTAAGAAAGTTGTGCCAGATGTGACTGCTCCTGTGGTTCAGAGCCCTGCCAACATGCTGCCTGTATTAGTTGTTGAGAAGCCCAAGCTCCAATCCATCATTATTAAAGATACTCCAGCAGTCACTGTTGCTCATGGCTTGTTCCCTGCAGCTCCGAGTGCTCCTCCCCAGGATCTTGCACTACCTATCATAAGAAAGGTACTCAATTTCTTATCCAAAACCCCTAGATCATGTCCCTTTGCATCTCTCACTTTACTGAATATTGACTTTGACACTGTCATACCTCCTTACTTCAATGATCCTCTAATCCTGGCCCATCTGGCATTGCTCTTGCCTCCCCAGATCATGGAACTAGCTGAGGGTCTAAACAACCTGCTTGATGAGGAGGATGATCTCTTTGAGATCATTGCTGAAGAATTCACCCCCACGCAAGAGGAGGGCCACCAGAGCCAAGGAACAGATCGATGACAGGTTCCTTAGGCGCAGCAAGAGACATGCTGTAAAAATCAAGTTACAAGGCACCCCTGTGAATCGCAAGGAGAAGGAGATCCCAAGCCCCATGCCCTTGGCCTGCATCCTGGCCCCAGGAGCCTCTGTTGCACCACACCTCACTGAGAACATCGTGCATGGAATTGCAACGGGCTTCCTTCAGATACAGCCTTCGGCTCTGTCTGCTGCCATCCTGATGGCCGATGTCAATGAAGATCACAACTAGAAGCTTGGGGCTGGCACCACTATGCCTGCTAGTGGTGTTTGTTTTGGTGATGCTTAGGTTGCTACCTTTTAGCTTTGATGCCCAGCCTGCGTGCGGGTTTAATAAGAACTCCTCAGCCACTGCTTGGCTTGTATGCAACCTGAACCTCTCAGTTATCAGACTATGCTTGTTCTGCTACCTTTGCGTGATCAGTGTTTATCTAGCCACTCAGTTTAAGATTTACTTTTTGCCTTCACCTGTTGGTTCCATGATTATCTTTTTCAGCTCTGTTGTCACTCTTTATTCTATCATCTCTTTGATTTGTCCTGTTACTATACACATATCTCCTTTGCTCCATGTGTTGCTTTGTTTGGTCACTTGCTGGCCAAACACTTGTGCTATTTTTCTACAGATCATAAATGAATAACAACAGAGTTCACAAGATCCTGTCATGGAATGTTAGAGGCATCAATTCCCAGGAAAAATGGGATGCTATTCGTGATAAAATTGTTGAAAGTGCATGTAACATCGTCTGCTTGCAGGAAACCAAAAGAGAGAATTTTGACAGTGCTTACCTGAGAAAGTTTTGCCCAAGGCAGCTGGACTGCTTTTTCTCCCTCTGCAGGAGCTTCTGGAGGGCTTCCGGTGATTTGGAATAGTAACCTGTATAGTGGAGACATCATTCAGAGAAATAGCTATGCTGTCACTGTTAAGCTCACCAGCCTTGTTGATAACAGCTGTTTTCACCTGTCCAATATTTATGGACCTGCTCACTCCTCTAGCAAATTGGCTTTCATCACCTGGCTAATTAATCTGGACACCACAAGCTTTGATGACTAGCTTCTAGTAGGAGACTTCAACTTATACAGATGCCCAGAAGATAGAAACAAACCAGGTGGAAATTTGTGTGAAATGCAGATGTTTAATGACACCATCTTGGATTTGAATCTTCTTGACATTCCCTTCAGTGGCAGAAGATTCACCTGGAGTAATATGCAATTGGATCCACTACTGGTGAAACTAGATTGGGTCCTTGTTTCTTCTACCTGGGGGCTCACTTTTCCAGCCACTACAGTTATGCCTCTGTCAAGGCCAACTTCTGACCATATACCCTATGTTGTCAACATAGGGAGTAAAGTTCCAAAAGGGTCAGGCTTTAGATTTGAAAATTACTGGGTAGGCCAACTTAACTTCCTGGAAACAGTTGATCTCCATTGGAATTCCAGCCCCTTCTATGGAAATGCTGCAAAAACTCTGTCAGGAAAATTCAAACAGACCAGAGCTGGCCTGAAATCATGGAGCAAGAGACTCTCTAATTTGAACAAGTTGATCCATAACAGAAACTGGGTTCTTCTTCTCCTGGATGGCTTAGAAGATCAAAGACCCCTTAACCACCTTGAATCTTCTTTCAGGAAACTAGTCAAAGAGCATCTCAATGGCCTCCTTGAATCCAAAAGAAAGTACTGGAAACAGAGAAACACAGTCAGATGGGTTAAATTAGGAGATGAAAATGCAAGCTTCTTTCAAGCAATGGCCACAAATAGTCACACCAGAAAATATATAGGGAGCCTAACCACTGCAGAGAATATCTTGGTCACTGACCATGAATAGAAGGCTGCCTTACTTTGAAATGCCTTCAAAGAGAGATTGGGTGTCAGCAACTTTGTGGGTATCTCTTATGATCTGGAATCCCTCCTACATAGGGAAGAACTTGATTTCCTTTCTGATCCTTTTAGTAATGATGAAATTTCTGCTATGCTTAAGGCTTTGCCCAGCAACCATGCACCTGGTCCAGATGGTTTTAATGGTTTCTTCATCAAAAAATGCTGGTCAATTATTAAAGATGATCTCCTAAGGGTAATTCATGACTTTCATAGCAATGTCATTGACATCAGCTGCCTCAATTCCTCCCACATAGCCCTCATCCCCAAAAAGCCCAACCCTGCTACTGTTGATGATTACAGACCCATTTCTCTTCTCAATTACTCTTTGAAGTGCATCACCAAGCTTCTTTCTACAAGACTGCAATCAGTCATCACTAGATTGGTTCACCCAAATCAGTATGACTTCATTAGAGAAAGAACTATTCAGACTGTTTAGCCTGGGCCTTTCATTTCTTGCACATTTGTCATCATTCTAAAAAGGAAATTGTCATCTTAAAGCTAGACTTTGAAAAGGCCTTTGATAAGATTGAGCACCAAGTCATCCTTGAGGTACTGCAACACAAAGGTTTCCCTGAAAAGTGGATAAAGTGGATTGAGATGCTCCTAAGTTCTGCCTCATCTTCTAGTCTCCTTAATGGTGTTCCAGGTAAAAAATTTTAAATGTAAGAGAGGAGTTAGACAAGGTGATCTTCTTTCCCCTCTCCTCTTTGCTCTTGCAGCTGATCTTCTTCAGTCCATCATAAATAGTGATTGACATCTTGGAGTCCTGAAGCACCCAGTAAGTGAAAATTTTGGAGGGGATTACCCAATAGTGCAATATGCGGATCATACTTTATTAATAGTGCTAGCTGATGCTAGAATCCTCTTCAATCTAAAAGGTTTACTTAGATCTTTCTCTGACTCAACTGGTCTACATGTGAACTTTCAGAAATCCTTCCTGGTGCCTATCAACATTGACAGTCATAGAGCAGAACACCTTGCTAGAACCGTTGGATGCAGAACTGAAAGTATGCCATTCACATACTTGGGCCTCCCTCTTGGAACCCAAAAACCTTCTTTGCAGGATTTTAGTCCACTCCTAACCAGGATTGAGAGCAGGCTTAATGGTATTAGTAGAATGCTATCCTATCAGGGCAGACTAGTTCTGGTTAATTTTATTTTTAGTGCCATGCCCACCTATTACATGTGCAGCCTCTTGTTACCTCCACAAATTGTACAGAGAATTGACAGGTACAGGAAGCATTGCCTCTGGAGCAATGGAGACATCAACAGGAAGGGTACTTGCTTGGATACCTAGGAACCTGCATGCAGACCAAAGGATGAGGGTGGTCTTGGTATCATTGATATCAAAACCCAGAACAAAGCCCTCTTCTGAAATTTTTAGATAAGTTTTTTAATCATGCAGATACCCCTTGGGTAACTTTGACTTGGGATATGCTCTATCACAATAGCAACATACAACCTCATGCTAGATGCCCAGTTGGCTCTTTTTGGTGGAAGGAAATCCTCAAGCTACATGTTGAGTTTAGAGCCTTGAGCCACTACAATCCTAGCTTTGGTAACTCAGTTCTGTTCTGGGGAGATGTCTGGAGTGACAACTGTCTTAAAGATTTGTGCCCTCATCTTTACTCTTTTGCCAAGAAAAAGAAAAGTTCAGTCATATTCTACTTGAACGGTGACCTCAAAGCAAACTATTTCCTACCACTTTCAGTCCAAGCCTCTGAAGAATTGGAAGTCCTAGAAATGTTGCTGCAGATGCATGACTAGGATGAGGAAATTGCTGATACATGGATCTATACCAGGAACTTCAGTAAGTTTTCATCAAAAAGGGCCTATAAATGTCTTCAAGGTACAGAAGTTGCCTCCCCTCTCTTCTCCTGGATGTGGTCTGCTGGCAATCTTGGCAAGCACAAATTCTTTTTTTGGCTACTCCTCAAGGACAGACTAAACACCAGGAACTTGTTAAGAAGGAAGAATATGTATCTTGATGACTACAACTGTGCCATCTGTAATAGTAATGTGGAAGAGACTTGCATGCATCTTTTCTTTGAGTGTCCCTTCAGCCTTTCCTACTGGAACCACATTGGCATACATTGGGATTTAAGTTTGCCACCACTGGATATGTTAATTGAAGCAAGAGCCACCTTTGGCAGCCCCATCTTCAAGGAGATTCTCATCACTGCCTGCTGGACGATTTGGAACTCAAGACATGGGCTGATCTTCGATGGCAAACCCTGCACCCTAAACAGCTGGAAGGCTCTTTTCAGGACTGAGATTGGCTTGATTTGCATCAAGGCCAAGCCTAGCCTTGCTGGCTCACTTAGTCTTTGGTTAGAGAATACAACATAATGTTTTCTGTAATTTTTCGTTTTGAGCTTTGCAAGCTTCTTTTTGCACCCCTCGTGCACCTGTATTTTTGTACTTGTTTTCACCATATTAATACAAAAAATAGGTGGGGGGTTTTCCCCCATTGAGCCCTAAAAAAAGAAAAATTCATTCTTAAATTTGATTTTGAAAAAGCCTTTGACAAGATTGAACATCAAACCATTTTAGAGGTCCTTGAACACAAAGGCTTCAACAGTAGATGGATAAGATAGATAAAAAACATACTATGCTCTGGAACATCCTTAGTTCTTCTGAATGGCATACCTAGGAAGCCCTTCACCTATAAGAGAGGGCTAAGGCAAGGTGATCCACTATCCCCCCTCCTCTTTGTCTTAACAGCTGATCTGCTTTAGTCTATAATCAACAAAACCTAGCTACTAGGTGTTTTGTCTCATCATCTCAGTGATAACTTTGGTGGAGATTATCCAATAGTACAATATGCAGATGACACTTTATTGATTCTACCAGCAGAAGCAAGATTGTTGTTTAACTTGAAAGGCATCCTAAGGGCATTCTCTGTTTCCACAGGCCTACGTGTGAATTTCAAGAAATACTTATTAGTGCCAATCATTGTTGATCGATGAGAACAAGACTAATCATCTGGCAACCACTTTTGGATGCAATATTAGATGTTTCTTTCATTTATTTAGGCCTGCCCATTGGCACCACCAGAGCCAACATTCGACTTTAGTCCACTCCTCATCAAAATTGAAAGTAGACTTGGA